CGTGAAAAAGTAAAACAGAAAGAGAAAATGAACAAATTTATTCATTATTTGTATGATTTAGTTATATGTGTTTGTTTCAATGACCAAAGCTAAATATTAGTTCTCTTATATGGTGCTCTACAGAGGTTTGTCCACATTGCATTGTTGTGTTTATCTCCCTAGTGTGAAATGCAAAACTTGTGAAAAAAAAAAGATGCTTGTGAAATCTCAACCTGGTCTCAACTAACGATAATAGTTAACATTTATAGACCACTTTAAGATTTGCAAAGAGCTTTGTATATGTGAATAGAGTGATAGACTTGGAGTCAGGAAGACTTGTTCGAGTGCTACCTTAAACACTAGCTGTGTGATTCTGCACAAGTCACTAAATCTCTCTAAGCTTCAATTTCTTCATTTATAACTTGGGAGAACTCCCCCCCCAAAAAAAAAATTCAAAAAACCCTGTTTCGGAGAATTGTTGTGAAGACCTACTGAGATAATTAATGTATAGTGTTTTGTACATGTTAAAAGCACCATCAGTCAATCAAATCAACAAGCATTTATTAATCTCCTACTATGCGTTAGACACTGTGCTAGTTCGCAAGTACACAAATAGAAAGAATGAAATACAGCCTACTATAAATGTTATTATGGCTGCACACATACACCAGTTAATTTTTGTACATAAAGGAATGGAGGAAGGGAATCAAAGAAGGAGAAAATTATACTATGGTAATCTGTTTTTGGTTTCTTTCTTTCTTTCTTTCTTTCTTTCTTTCTTTCTTTCTTTCTTTCTTTCTTTCTTTCTTTCTTTCTGCTAGACAATGGGGTTAAGTGACTTGCCTAGGGTCACACAGCGAGTAAGTGTAATGTGTCTGAGACCAGATTTGAACTCAGGTCCTCCTGAATCCAGGGCCAGTGTTCTATCCACTGCACCACCTAGCTGCCCCCATTATTAATTTTTTTTGATACAACTCTCTGATGTAGGGATATGTGGGTATTTGTGAACCAGTGAAAACTAGTTCAACTAGTACAGCCTCAGCCTCCCCCAGGATGCATATATGCTGAGGCTAATTAAGCCAGAGATTGGGCAATATGTCTCTCTTTCCTCCCCCACACCCCCACCCCAATCCCTTCCCCTAACCTCTTACTGGATAATGCAGAGTTAAGTTCTCTGCCTCCCTGCCCCTCATTCCTCTCTTTCTATTAGGTAAGTCAGGAAATACCCTCATTTCACTGGTCCTGACTATACTACTATCTTCCCCCATTGATGGTAGGGCAGGATCCCATTAATGCCAACTGACTCTTTGCCTAAATCTCTATGTAAGTTTGACCAGAGTGCAAAAATTGTCGCAAGATTCCACAACTGGCACCACCCCACTCTGTCCCACCCTTGGCCAAGGGCAATGGGGGCCACTTGCCAAGATTGCTCCCTGTTGGCATCTATTCTCCACCTTACTTTGTGATCAGTAATTAACTCTTTTTAAACAGCTGTTTTTGTGCAGCACTGGTGCTCTTCATCTGAACAATCCTGCTTTATAGTATATTATTTCCATTTCACAGATGAGTAAACTGAGAGGCTTAGAAAGGTTAGATGACTTGCTTTGAGTTAAACAGCTAGTAAGTGTCAGAAGCTAGATTTAAACCCAGATATCTTGCCTGGCTTCAAGTCCAGGCTATTTTTATTATGCTACACTGCCTCTCTATTTAATAATGACTGTTAGTAATTAATTGGTAATCTATATAGTACATATTAACTAAAACAAACTACAGCCAGAAACTTTTTTAGATCCCCTTTCAATATTGTGGGGCTGGGTTTTAGCGTGGAATTGGTATAGGAGATTGGTGGCTACGGGTTAAAATACCCTTATATATGCCTTGAAATGTCATAGATAGAGCCAGAATTGTCATTGTACCCTTGGGAGAATTCCTGAGGGTGTGTCAAATTTCCTTCCTTCCTTGAAATGGAGACCTATTGCTTTCACTGAGGAGAACTCTTATCCTCCTCCTTACTAGGTAAACACATAGAGCTCAGGAACCCATTCTTCAACCTTTTGGCTGGAGAATAACACAAAAGAGCTGCTAGAAATCACTTTACTTTCCATTTATTTCACTTAAAAGCCTATCACATCACCTGGAATTCTGAAATATGTTACTAATCAAAATATTTGATCCCTTCAAGAATTATGAAGGTGGGACAGAATTACAGTGTGTACTTCTTTTTTTTTTTTTTGCAAATGGTTGGGTGTTTTTACTTTCTATTCAGGTTTGGTTGCTCCCCAAAATGGAATATGATTATTAACATGTTTAATGCCTTTTAATAATTTCAGAATATATATATATATATATATATATATAGATAGATAGATAGATAGATAGATAGATAGATAGATAGATAGATATGACATGCTTAAATGAAGGCAAAAAATTTGAAAATGGAAAGTGGAAACTGGAAAAGTTTTGAAAATTTCAAATCTTCATAGCATGAGGTTTCTTTTTATAACACTGAAATGCAGAATCTTATACCGACTCAAATTTCTCATTTATGTACAAACATTTCTCCTAAAGCTATATCTCCTCCTACTCCCCCACCCCAAGTTATTTTCATTCTAAAGTGAAAGAAGGGGAGAGGGAGAAGGATACATGAAGTTATGGAGGTATAAACCTACCCACAAAGGCAGAACTCAAATCCACTTCCAATCTTTCATTATCCTATTAGACTTTTCCATCTATCCTTTCACTTATTTACTAAAGCATAGATACTTATTCAAAGTTACATAGCAGGCATAGGTAAAATTACTTGTTATTTATGCATCTTAATGTTTCTGCCATCTTTTTTTTCTGTCAAAAATTTTTATCTAGATCACTAACTTCAGGGGTGAGCCTGACTTTAAATTCTTTAATTTAATTGTATAGGGAAAGAGTCTGACATCATATTTAATGGTTATCCTTATGTTACATAGAATGATTTGTGGCAACTGTTTTAGCCACCTTATTAGGGTAACTATGTCCTACCAGAAGGGGGAATCCTTCCCCCTTGCCTTTCCTTCATCTCTACTCCCTCCAGATGCCATGTCTTGGGGTAGGAGTGTAGGGGTAGGGATGGGAATATTTAAATGGGCATTCACTTTGCTTGGATGAACTGAAAGTCAATGACGAAGTTCCTTCTAGTGAAGTGGAAGACCTTTCGACCTTACCATCTGCCCTTCGCTGATGCTACACCTTTCATTTCCTTAGAAACTGCCATCTTACCTGATGATATAACCCAGGGGTAGGGAACTTTCAGTCTCAATGCCACATGTGGCCTTCTAGGTCCTCAAGTGTGGTCCTCTGACTGAATCCAAACTTCACAGAACAAATCCCCTTGATAAAAGGATTTATCCTATGAAACTTGGACTCAGTCAAAAGGCCACACCCAAGGATATAATATTATAACCTCAGGACCCTTGGGCCTTGCCGTATGTATCTTAGCTGCTCATTTTGGACTTCCAGATCACTCCATTTGCCACACAGCTCTGTTTTCTTATATATGTCGTCTCTCCCAATTAGAGTGTGAGTTCCTTTAGAACAGAGACCATTTTGCCTTTTCTATTTGTATACGAGCACTTTGCATGTAGCTAAATGGTTAATAAATGCTTCATTGATTCATTGATCTTTGCCACTTCCCCTGAACTTCAGAAAGATAGGTCATAATGTTTTCATAATGTGGTCCTAAGGTACTGCTGACTGCCCCTCTGCACGACCTTTCTCTGGGGCATTTACTCTTGGCTACCATGGAAGCTTTCCAAAGCAGAGATGGTGCCTGCAGGTGGGCCATGATTTCAAAGCAGAAAAGAGCAGTCAGGGAGAACTCCACAAAAAGGCACATTTTTCTTGCTTCTTCTTTCACAATAGGAGTGTGAAGACAGGAGAGAGGAATATATAAAAGCATAAAAATGAAGTAAATGCAAAGGCTAGCCATATGGAGGGATGGGCCTGTGGCAAATCCCAGTCTGCATGTACACAAGTACTTGCACACTCTCCCTGCACTCCTGTCTTCCTTTCTTCATACTCCAATTTATGAAATTTGTTAAAAATAAATAACAAGGGTATTAGGTCAGGGAAAAGCAGCAGGAGACCTTGGATAGTGGTTGGGAAGGCACTATCCACTTTCAATGCATGTGAGTGTTTTGTATATTGACATTTATATATGCTGTATATTTACTTTTATCGTGTTTTGTTCTATTGATGCTGCCTTCTTAGAGCTTGACCATGTTGAATTTCTGTGCCTGTGATTGTTTGGTCTCTGCACTAGGAAGTCCTCCCATGTAAGCAAAGATCATAGGATTATAGCATTAAGGCTGGAGGGGACCACAGATCTCCTCATTTTAGATGGAAACATCTAAAATGTCAGAGAAGTTGAGATGGAGCCTGGGTTCCAATCCAGGACCTTTAAATCCCGATCTCATGTTCTTTCTGCTGTGCTGTTCTTCCTCAGGTTAGGAATGGTTGGCTCAGTTCTCCATGTACTCAGTGTGGCTCTGATAAATACAGAACTACTAATAAAGCACCTCTACACCTAACAGTTCTCTGTAGAGTTTTACCACATATAGCTCTCATTGAATTTCAAAGTGCTAAATCTTGCATTAACAAAAGGTAGATTTCAGACGTTTTTTTCCTCTATCCCATCTTTTAGGAAAGGAGAAAAGCAAAATATTAATAATGACATCTCACATTTATATAGACTCACACTTTTCAGAGTTCACTATCTTTCTTATCTCTTTTGATTTCCATAACAACTGACACAGACACATCAGCTATATTTTCCTAATTTGACCTGATGAGGAAACTAAGATACATAGATGTTAAGTAATATTCCCTGGGTCACATAATTAGTTAACAACAGGGCCAAGAGTAGAATCTATTTCTCTCCATTTAGTCCCATGTTCTTTCCACTATCACACCATAGTAATATTGAAGACAGAGTACCACCGTGATTAAATGAGTGTTTCTAAACAGCAGTCATTCCACAAAGACTTTACCTGAAGATATTGGCAGGATCGTTCCTGTTGACAGGTTTCTGACTTCACCAAGGCCTGGTCCACATTAACTGAAGCTTTCTGGTAAACTTCACGGGCCCTGCTCACTGTCAAGGTTGAGGACCAGGCACTCTTCTTCAGGAGTGGGGCATCCAGGTTGACGGGAAGATTTGCACAGGTAGAACATTTGACATCATTATTACTCCTGGAGGCCTTGACTGCATGTTCATTGATTGTATTGTAGGCTTCCATGAAATACTGTGAGGCAGAGCGGTCTGGGCACCGGCCCATTGTCATCACTGCTGAGGGGGCATGATAGAGGCAGACATCACCATCCAAGTTGTCATCAGAGCTCCACCAACCTGAGGCATTTGAACGGGCTTTGGGTTCTGGCCGTCTTTCTTTGCTCTTACTTCTCTTGCCATACCTCATCGTCTGTGTGTCATCTGGGCTGGCTTTGCCTCCATTGATGCTACCCTTGGACGGTCCCTCCAGAGAATGAGACTTGGTAAAGAGCTTCTGGACAGAGTGGACCAGGTGACGAATCCTTCCTGGGCTGTCACTACGGTGTTCCACAGCAGTTCTCTTGTACTGCAAGGTGTGGTAACCGTCTCTGTTGAGGGGGAGCTGCCTTTCAAATTGATCCAGGAGGTTGGGAGGAAGGCGATTTGCCTTGTTAGCTAGGGTGCGGGGAACCAGAGCACATTCCTCCTTCAACTCTTGCTGGGAGTTGTAATGCCTCCTAGGAAAGGTACTGCTGGCCAGGGGGTCATTGAAGGGGACCACACACTCAGCTTGGAAGGAGTTCCTCTGAGTATAGTAAGGGTGGTCAGCAGGGTGAGGCTCCACTGGGCTTAACAAGTATGGCTTCCTGTCTGTGTGATGGGATAGAGAGTCACAGGCAGAATCACAGGTCACTCCGTGATGGTGACTACGGCTGCCAGATAACCCTTTCATCGCTGATGTAAAGTGACTGCCAATGTCATCTACACCATGTGGCTATGTTCCAGACAGGTCTCTGGGAAAGGCCTAGAAAAATAAAGAACAAGAATGATGAGCTATTTAAACTGCTCTTAGTAAACAGTCATTTCTTATCTTAAATGTGCTTTCTGTATCTTCAATCTCTTGTGGTAATTATTGTCTAATAGTGTTAATAATAGCTCATATTCATATAGTATTTTGGGACTTGCAAAGCACTTTGCCCACTTTATCTCATTTCATAAATGTGGAACAAAGACACATTTCTTTCCATCAACTGGCTATAGCTTAAATTCCCTGTTAAGAAAGTTTTTAGCCTCTTAGCAGGTAAGAGTTGACTCTAGAACTTTGGGTGAAGATCATAGGCATGGAAATCATTAGTTTTTGAAAACCTGTGAGGGTCATGAAGAGTCAGACATGACTGAAAATGCCTCAACAACAACAACAACAACAACAACAACAACAATATTATTGTCATATTATTTACAAGTGATCTGGATGCATTCCTTCTTCCTCCCAACTACTTTTTATTACTGAGGATATCATAATCTGGCTCCAGCCTTACTTTAGGGTTTTAGTGTAAATTACAGATCTTCACTCACTTTACTTTCTATTTAGACTAGTCTGCTCACTGTTTCCCATATACAAGATTCCATTTTTTTGGGTCTTTATACCTTTTCACAGTTATCCCCATCTCTGAAATGAAATGAATTTCCTCCTGACCTCTGCCTCATTACCTAGCTGTGTTCAAAGTTCATTTTAAGTGTCTTCTCCTATAGGAAGTCTATCCTGATTACTTCTAGTGGCTTGTATCCTTTCTAAGAAATTATTTTATATGTATTTTCCATCTATCTATGTATATATCCATCCATCCATCCATCTATCTATCTATCTATCTATCTATCTATCTATCTATCTATCTATCTATCTATCTATCTATCTATCTATCTATCTTCCCTTCTATCTGATCTACCTTCCTATCTATCTGATGTTTTCTCTGATAAAATTTACACTACTTGAAAGTAAGTACTGTTTCATTTTTGTCTTTGCATGTCCAGTACCTAGCACAGTAGCTATCAATGCACGTTACATATATATGCATATACATATACGTACTATATATGTCAATACACGTTACACATACATATATATACACACAGTGCAGTCAGTACTTAATAAATGCTTGTTGAAATAAATTGATGTCTCTTTTTGACATCTGCTCAGGAGATAAGACACTTTAATATAAATGAAGTCAATTATACTATACTTATATAGGAAGGACAGAATATTGCCATCATGGTCCTTTAGGCTTCCATGATCACAGCTATATGCACACTTTATCCTATGTTATCCATGATGCCAGAAGGAAGAAAAAGTTAATGGGATGCTAAATTAAATCCATAGATAATCCACAAACATGATTTCAGACTCAGTGAATCAAGAACTTCCTTTCACTAAATCTTTTCAATAGCTTAGGGAGCAAAAACTAAATTGGCTGATTTTAATTAGACATCCTCTCCTTCTCTGCCTGCCCTTTGAGCTTAAGAGCTGTGCTCAGATGGTAGTAGAAATATAGGTTGTGCAGAGAAGGAATCACAGAAGACATGAATAATCCAATAATAATAATAACAATAGTAGCTTTTTTTGCAAAGGCATCTTATATATGTTTTGTTATTTGTTCCTCACAACCATGTGGAGTAGGTATTATTGTCTCTATTTTGCAAGAGAGAAAACAGACTGAATTAATGACTTGCCCAAAGTTATATAACTAGTAAGTATCTGAGGCAAGATTTGAACTCAAGTCTTCCTGAATCCAAGTCCAGTGTTCTCCCTACCTTGCTACCTAGCTGCCTGAATAATTAACCTTTAGGAAATAGCGGGAAAAAAACCCAAACAAAAAAAACTCATGAAAATATTGTTATACAGTTCACACCTGCCTTTTCAATACTCAACAAGGCACAGTTGGTATTTAAGCATGACCCAATTCATATTTTCTTTTGACTCTTTAACAAACTATCTGTCCTTTAGTAGCTGACAGAGTTCCAATGGATTGCCTGGCTTGTCATACTTCTGTAGCAGCTTCCTACAATGCAAATTATTTTCTCTTTGAGATGTCTTGTAAAGCTAACAACACTTTCCAAAATTCCATTTTGGGATATTCAAATGAGAGGAGATCAGTGGTTTAATCAAATAAGGGCCTAGCCTAAAGCAGAAGGACAATATAGGGAGGTTGAGTCTTGTCAACTACCCGGGATGTCCAGATCTGAAAGCTTTATAGGATGTTTTAAGCTTGGCCAACGTTTTTGTAACTACATCCTTTCTTTCTGATGGTGAAACAACGTCCTGGGAGAAGTAAGAAATTTGAGTACTTGGGGGAGCTGCTAGGTTGTGGAAAGTACACTGGATTTGGAGATGGAAGAACTGGGTTCACATTTCAGCTCTTTGACTTGTCACCTGTGTGACCTTGGGCAAATCAAAGAACCTTCCTGGGCATCAATTTCTTCACTCATAAAATAAGATCTCTAAAGTTTCCTGAAATTTCAAAGTCCTATAATTTAGTTAACTCACAAAACAAATGTTTTTCCCCTAATGAGTGTTCATATAAGGTCCCTGGCAACAAGAAATAGTCCTGGAGTAAGGATGAGTTCTGCTGGTTCCTTCCCTCCATAACTGCCTTGTGTTCACTTTGTCTATATTCTGTGTGTGTGTGTGTGTGTGTGTGTGTGTGTGTGTGTGTGTGTGTGTGTATGTATATGTAGGTGTGTATATACACACACACACACACACACACACACACACACTGCTATCTCCCCCATTCAAAGGTAAGCTCTTTAGTCTTTGTGCTCTCAGTGCTTAGATCAGTGCCTGTCCCATATAGCAAGTGGTTTGTAAAGGCTTGTCCATTGCTTCATTCACTGGTTGATTGGAGAGGAAAGGGCCAAATACAAAGAAGGATGGATTGAAGACAAGTGTGTTGATTCAATTCAATGAGCTTGCATTAGGAGCCTATTATAAGCAGGAGGCACTATGCTTGGCACTATTGGTAAACAAAGACAAAACCAAAACAAGATAGTACCAGTCTTCAAAGAGCTTACATTCTACTGGAAGAATAAAACATCCACAGTATTCCAAACTGTCTCATCTCTCCTAAAGCCTCCTATGGCATACTCTACCATCACTCTCTTAACTAAGGACCTTGTTGCACAGAGAAAATTGAGGTCATTTACTAAAAGTTTTCCTTTCTCCCTTCCTTTTAATCTCACATTACCCAAACATCTTCTTCCAATATCTCCTCTCCAGTCTCAAGATAAGAGATGAGTCTTCTCTTTGCCAAGGTCAATGCTTCTTTGTGTACCCTCGATCCCATCTTTTCCTGTTTTCTCTAAACTTTTACCTCCACAATTACCTCCACTCTCTTATCTTCAGTCTCTCCTGATGTACTCATTGGCTGTTTCCCTGCTGTGTACAAACATTCCCACATCTCCTTGACCTAAAAAGAATTCTCATTTGGTCCTTCCATCCCTACTAGCCATCATTCTATACTTCTGTCCTTTTTGAGTTATCTCCTTGAGACAGTAGGTGTCTCTACTTCCTGTTCTTTCACTCTTTTCTAAACTCTCTGCCATCTGGCTTCTAATCTCTTCATTCAGATGAAAGTCTTAGAAGTTACCAGCATCTGCAAATCAGATGGCCTTTTTTTCGGTCTTCATCCTTTTTGATTTCTCTTTAGCAGCTGGTACTGCTGATGATCTTCATGCCCTGGATACTCACCCTTCACAAGATTTTTCACTAGATTTTCATGACTGCTCTCTCCTGACTATCCTCCTATTCATCTCCTATCTTCTTCTCAGTCTACTTTGCTGGACATTTATCTCTGTCACACTCACTAAACATGGGTGCCCCCTCAAGGCTATTTTGAGCCTTTGCTTTTTCTTCTCAATTGGTGATTTCAACAATGACATTATAATTATATAATTATAATTTCTATGCTGATAGATCTGTATCTCTAGCTACCTATACTTATAGTCCTAACTTTCCTCATGGGTTCTAGTCCTAAAAGACCAGATGTCTTTTAGAAATCTTGAATGGATGTCCTGTAGACATCTCAACCTCAACCTGTCCCCAAACCCCTCATTATCTCCATTCTTTTTCCTCATCCTCACCCCAATCCTCTCTTCTTTCCAACTTCCCTATTACCACTGATGGCACTCCCATCTCTCAGTAATCCAGACTCATTATTTTGGTGCTTTTTTCCTTCTTCTTTAGAACTAGAAGGTACCTTATAAAATGTGTAGGCTAACCCTATTTATTTATTTAAAAAAAATCCCTTTCTGTGACTTGTAAAACAGCTTCTTCAAGACCTATTTTCCCAGAACTATTCTTAAAGCTGGAATATACATTAGAATACACTCTTCACTCTCACTTACCCCAAATGTCCCCTCTATCACCAAATCTTGTTTCAGCAGCATTTCTGTCTCTATTCATACAGCTACCACTATAGTTCAGACCCTCATCACTTCTACAAAGTGATTTTTTATTAAAATGTAGGTGTACCCATGCTATCCCTTTGCTCAGGAAACCTCAGTGGCTCCTTATTATCTCTAAAATTAAATATAACCTCCTCTAATGCTCTCCACAATGTGGCTCCTTCCTCCCTTTCCAGTCTTCTTATACATTAATTCCCACCATGTACTCTATGATCCAGCTAGACTAGACTGGCCTACTTCCTCCTCTGTTTTTTGTACCTTTGCTCTGGTTGCTTCCCATTCCTGGAACTCACCATAGTTTTGGTTCTTAGTTTCCGTCATGTCTTTCAAGTCTTGGCTGAAATTCTATCTTCTACATGTGGCCTTTCTAGGTGCCTCTCCCTCCTCCTCCTCCTCCCCCCTCCCCCCAGGCTGCCAGTGACTTCCTGTATGAGATTAGTTTCCAGCTAATCTGAATAGAGGGTGTCCCCATTAACTGTGCTAACTTGTATGTACCTGGTTATCTATATTTTGCCTCCCCTGTGTTGCCCCCCCAACCCATTAGAATGTGAATTCAGGGACTGC